ACTAATGGCATGTCCTGCTTCAGTACAAAGTCCAAAATAAATTTCTTATTCTTTTTAATGTCATAAAATGTTGATTTACTGATTCCAAATTCATCCTTTACACTTTTAAGAGATCATCCAGCTTCAATCCTACTTAGAATCTTCATTTTATCCTCCAAATTCAATGCTGTATATTTCCCTCTTTTTCATACTGAGTTTGGTTTTAAATAACCAACAGGAGAAAAGGGAAAAACCTTACTGAATTGGAAAAAAACATTCAAACAAAACAAAAAACCCAAAACTAGCTTAATGCCCTAGAAGGCACAGGCATTTGAATTGAAGGATAATGAGCTAAAGGGATAAGGGCTTATTATTAAAGTGTTAGTCTAGAAGTAAAGGTATTATGAACTCATAAAGCTGCCACTTATAAAGTCCTCTCTTGCTTTCACTCCTTCAAGACATGGATGATCAGTTTTCAGAACTTCCCTGCTCCTCTTCTCCCTCGACAGATAAAGCAGAACCAGTCAGGAGTAACAGGAATACCTGCATACTCTAAGTCAACACAGAAAAAGACACAAGGAAGAGAGTAGGCAAATTGTGCTCACAAGTAAAGACCCAGGTGAGATAAGCCTCAATAAAAAATGGTGCTCATCCTTGCTAGTGTGCTCAGTGGTTAGAGCATCAGCTTGCACACTGAAGGGTCATGGATTCGATTCCTGGCCAAGGGCATGTACCTGGGTTGCAGCTTCAATCCCCAGTGGTCAGGGTGCATGAAACCAATCGATATGTCTCTCACATATGGATGTTTCTCCCTCTCTCATTCTTCCCCTTCCTCCTATCCTTCCACTCTCTCTAAAAATCAATGGAAAAAATATTATCAGATCAGGATTAGCAACAACCAAAAAAGTGGTGCTGAGGCGCTGGCCAGGTAGTTCAACTGGTTAGAGCATTGTCCCAATATGCCAAGGTTGTGGATTCCATATCGTCAGGGCACATACAAGAATCAACCAATAGGCCTAGCTGGTTTGGCTCAATGGATAGAGTGTCTGCCTGCAGACTGAAGGGTTCCGGGTTCCATTCCGGTCAAGGGCACATGCCTGGGTTGCCGGCTCCATCCCCAGTAGGGGGCGTGCAGGAGGCAGCCGATCAATAATTCTCTCTCATCATTGATGTTTCTCTCTCTCCCTCTCCCTTCCTCTCTGAAATTAACAAAAAATATATTTAAAAAAAGAGAATCAACCAATAAGTGCATAAGTAAGTGGACAATAAATCGATGTTTCTCTCTCTCCCTTCCTCTTTATTTAAAATCAATTAATAAATAAAACTTTTTTTTAATGGTGCTTGAGAACATGGGAATGTGGAAGCTTCAAAGGCAAGGACAGAGTAATCTTGTGTAGCAGAGATGCAGTGAGGCTCCTTCTCTTCCAAAAGTACCTGATTTTACCTCACTGCCAGAAAAAAAAAATGGTGTTCATATTGCTCTGTATGTAGTGTTCACTGGGCAGCAGTCCATCCACCTGGATAGACTCCAAGCTTACCCTGACATTGGGATGTCTAGAGAGCTAGAATTCAGTAACAGTTATAAATATCTTTAAGTGAAAAAGAAAGTTAGTAGTTTCTGCTGTCCATATGAATGAAATCCAACTTTGATTACATTCAATATAGCATTCTCAAAGACTGATCTTTAACAAAGTCATCTGTAAGAAGGCAAATAATTTGTTACTGGCACCTTTCCACTCTCAGATCTTCCTTGTGTACATCTGGTGTATTCTCAAGTATTATTTTTCAACGAAACTGTTTCATATGTGGGATATTAGCAAGTTTCAGAATCATGGCAATTCTTAGAGGTGAGTGTAATAGTTTTATAAATATTTCACCATAATTAAAAAGTTAAAAATTTTTTAAAGATCCGTTTGTTTGTTTGTGTTCCTAAATTTACATTAGGGTTTTAAATAATACACATTTTATATTTGAGACTTTATTTGGTTTCTCTTCAGTGTAGATTTTGTTTAATTTGAACCAAGACTCAATTTTTCCACTGCTTGGAAAATTTTAAAAAGTTTCTCTACTGGTATTTCTGATCAATTGTTTCCCATAAATCCTTCTGCTGGCAAAGTCTTCTGTAGCTCAGCTCACTCAAGTAGTCCATTCAGGTCCTCTTGGTGCTGCTCAATTCCATTTATTCCTTAGAAATGTCTTACTCTATTAATTTCATGGTTCTTATTCCAGATATAGAACTTCCTGGGAAGTAACAAAAACTACCATTTTTTTTTCCATTCCAGGTGCTATGAAAAAAAAAGTGTCAGGGAAATGATAAAAATGAATTTCAGTTATTTTTCCACTCCTTTAGGGAAGAGCCTGACTGGCTTTCAGCCATTCCTCAACTAACAGAATTCTCACAAGCCGCTTATCTAGGAGTCCAGAAGAGCCTAACCATTAGTTTTCCTCTAACATTGGTTGCAAGAAGTGCCACTGGTTTATGGAGCACTAAGATCATGAAAGAATATCATAGTTAATATGGTGTGGAGGTAGTTACAGGCTAAGATCAAGCAACCTTGTAAAAGAGGAAGCTATAACTAAGGCAATTCTAAAAAAAAAGTTTTTCAGCCAACAGTAGCACTATTAAGTCCAGCCAATTACCCAGCAAAAATACTCAGCCTGCTATGGCAGTTGGGTGGTGTCTCAAAATAAACTCCATGTATTTGCTTTCATTGCTCCCCACCTGTGCATTCATCATGTTCTCAAACCATGATCAGGTAGGAGAAGGTGAGATCAAAGGAAAGACTCAGGGAACTTTTATGGGCTCCACAGCAAGAAGTAACTATGGCCTCGAACTTCAACCAGTGAAAACCATCAGTGGCCCTTATTCACTATTCACCATTTTGTGCCTTGTTTTCTCTTCTTTCTTTCACAGGGTCTCTTCTCCCACTTCCTTAACCAACTCCCTACCCATGCTATGAATCAGGTCTGCCAATGACATCAAAAGGCACTGCTAGCAGAACTTCATTTATTCAATTCAATAAGTTCCAATCATGTGTTCAGCTTTGGGACAGCTGATGAGAATCTCAATGCTAAAAGCATCACTGTCCACTGGTTCTGAGAGACTGGAAACAATAATGACTTTTGAAGAAACTAAGTCTCAACCTGGTAGATACTAAGGAAATGGAAATGCTTTGAAACATAAGCAAGTGACTTAGGCAGATGCCTATAGTTATCACCTTTAATCTTTTTCTCACTCAAAAAGGATCAAGATCTATGCCTCAGAGGAGTGTAACACCATTCTATTTAAAAGCAAAATAGCATAATGGCCTGGTTAGTGGTCTCTCATTTTCATTTCCACCTTAAACTTACCTCCAGATGAACACCCTAGAAAGAAGCTCCCTCAAAAACCTTCAAATGGTGCTCTGATATATGCTCTATTAAACGCATTTCTCTTCACTTCCATTCAAAGTACATAGATCTACATGAACTTATTTTCTAACTTTCTTTCCCTAAATGTAGCACAGTTACATTTAGTAAAAATACTAAAAATTTCACACACTAATTTCTCTGGCTTTTCAAGGCTATGCTTTTATGTTACCCCCCCTTATTTTCAACCTTTTTAATCTCACAGCACACATAAGTAATCACTAAATTCCTACAGCACACCAAAAAATGTATTATATTTTTTGCTAATCTGACAAAAATATTTGTCATGGAGAATGAATTATGATTCATTCACATTGGACAGCTATTGTGTTGGATGCTGTCATTTTTTTTTTTTTTTTTGACAATGTAAGGAAAAACAGGTCAGTGCCCCTGACTAGTCAGGTATTGAATGTTTTTAAAATTCTTGCAGCACATTGGCTGAAAATCGGTACCTTATAATTTTCCCCAACCAAAATTCAACGTCCATTTCCTTGGAATTTCTGCAGCGTTCAGCTAAAGTCCTCCCTTTTCCTACCCTGTGATACTGATATTCATGAAATTGCCTGAGTACTTCTGCCAGATTCCTTGATTAAAATACATTGTTCTATGAAGTTTGTAACACTGACTATACCTGGTAGACTTAAATAATTCCTTGACTGGTAGAGACTGGTACTATGAAAACACTAGTAATTAGAACAAAACCAAAACGAAATACTCAGATTCCTTTGAATATGACTTAGTAAATATTTGTGGAATGCACATCTTAATCAGGTAATTCGGCCACACACTGAAGGAAATACAAGATAAAAGAAGGTTCCCATTCTGCAGGAAGCACGCTGTCCTGAAAAAGGACAACAGGGAAACTAAATTACAGTCTAGGAGCGGCCAATGGTAAGTTATGTGACCCTCGCAAGTCACCTCTTAGCTCTCAATTTCTCTGTCATGGAGAACTATAAATGTAACCTATTCCACATACCTCACAAGAAAAAACAATTGTGAGATGCACAGCTCCAAACGGGGTAACCTCAGGTCCGCTGATCCTGAATGGAACAAAAAGGCTTCCTTCTCGAGGCAGTGATGTGCTAGGGACGAAAGCTCGGGTGCGGCCAGCTGGGCCAGGAAGGCCGAGGACCCTGCGAGACTAGCGGGCGGCGACCTTTACCCGGCGGGACTCCCGGTAACTCGGCCGCAGGCCCCCTGAGGGGACTTAGGAACCACCCCGACGCTCACCGCCTCAGAGCCAGGCCGCGAGACCGCGACACCCACGGGCCGAGCTGCGCGCAGGGTCCTTCTAGGCTCCACAACCTGGAGACTGAGTAGCATTAACTCCTCCGGGCGCAAGGGCTGAACCCTACAGGACTACGTCGGTTCCTTCCGCGAAGCCTGCAGCCCCTGCGCAGGCCGGCTGACTCAGCTGGGCGGCAGAGCCAGTCGGGAAGTGCACCACTTCCGCTTCCGGTAGGAGCGCGGGTTTCAGACAGTTGCGTAGAGAAGGCCCCAGGCGGGTGAGGCGTCCGGTACGTCCGTCGGGCCTGTTAGGCCTGTGACCTTGCATCCGCACTTCTGGGTTCTCTGGAACTCCTCTGAGTGTCGAGAAGCCGATAGCTGCGGTCCTGGAGAAGCCGCCGGAAGTGCGGCGACTTGCGGTAGCGTCGGAGGATGAGGGAGCGGCCCTCACGAAACGCAGCTGTCTGAGGTAACTAAGAATCGATTCCCCTTCGGCGTCGGCTGCGGAGCCTCAGAGACCTGCCGTCCTCTGCTCGAGGCCACTGCAAGGTGGTTGGAGGCGAGACGCTATTTCCGGTAGCCCGGCGACGAGAGCCTGTCTCGGGCGAGGCCGGCCGTCAGGCTCCGGAGGTCGCTCTTTCTGCCCTTTGCGCTGATAACTCCGTTTTTGGGGCGGGGGGGGTTTGGGAGGCATTGCTGCTGATGTTAACCGCCAGAGAGCCGCAGTTCAGCCTAAGAAGATCCTTTCTTCTGAGGCAGAAGTCCCCAGGCCTCCTGAGCCGGGTGCACAGCGAGGAGCCGGCCATTCATTTGTGAACCGTGCATCCTGCACAGAAGCTCGGGCGGGTTCTGCTGCATCACCCAGGGAGAGGGAGGCTTATGAAGCTCTCTGTAGGCTCCTTAGAAGTCTGAAAGATCCTCGAAACGTAAAATCAGCGGAAGGGTCAGCCTAATCATCACCAACTGCTATTTTCCCCCTTTTTACGACTTGGTATTTGGACATACATTTTGTAAAGAAAGGTCGGCTGTGATTTTTCCTAGTGGAAGTAAACAGACATTTTAAAATACAGGTATAAGTCTTCTGCGTAGTGCCCTTAATAGGTCTTGCAAAGAAGGGCCAAAAAAGAATGTTGAGCATCTCAGTTACTTAATTGGGGGATGCTTTCTGAGAAGAAAAGGCTACTTTTTCCCTAATTACGTTCCTTCTACTCTGGTCTCACTGTCTGTGTGCTGCCAGTATTCATGCAAGTAAAGGAGAGTCTCAAATGTTCCACGAAGTGAAGGCTTCAATCATCACAAGAGGATGGAGGGTCATAGAACTTGTACCTCTTATTAAAAGCAGAAGGCTAGGAGATATATTAAAATTTAAGAGAAACTCAGAATGTTTTCATAATTTTTTTTTTTTACATGATAGGAAGGAAGCACATCAATGAACTCTTTGGATAATCCCCAAACTCTTTGGAGTCATTGGGTGCCAATTTTCTCACCCACCAGTTTTCACTGATTTATTATTTTCTTGTGAAGGCAAAGTCATCAATTGACATTTGTCTTTAATGAGCTGTCTTATAGATCAACTGAATAATATAAAGAAAAGGAGAGAAACCAAGGGCCTGCCTGGCAGTTGATTTTAAAGAGAAGACAAGCAGGATGTTTTCATTTTTCTCTCACAGTAAGTAGCAAGTAGTAAAGTTCATGTGATTTTCTTGTTGACCTGCTTTTTTTCTGTCCTTGGTGCCTTAGGAAGAAGATCCTTTTATTGATTTTATTCCAGACCAGACTGGGCCTTAGTTGTCAGAGGTGGTACTGGTGGTGTGCCCACAGGAACAACTGTTCCAGCAGAATGATGATGGTAGATCTGAAAGTGGCTGAGTACTTGAACCCTCAGATCAAGGCTCTGTGGGAGACCAAGGGACCTGTGACAGAGAGCTCCTCTCAGAGTAAAAAATATACTGCACAAATGGACAGTCTCAGTCCTGAGAGCTTTCGCCAACACTTCCGGAATTTCCACTATCATGAAGCAGCTGGACCCCGTGTGGCTGTTGGCCAACTTCAGGAATTATGCCGTCAATGGCTGAGGCCAGACATACACTCAAAAGAAGAAATCTTGGATCTGCTGGTGCTAGAACAGTTCCTGAACATTCTGCCCAGGGATACTCAGACCCAGATAAAGAAGCACCACCTACAGAGCATTGAAGAGGCTGTGGCCTTGGTAGACCACTTGCAGAGTGAATCTGGTCAAACGAAGACTGGGGTGAGAAGATTCCTGATTAACAATAACAGTGATATAGAATGAAAATAGATAAATGGGGTTAGGGGCAGTTAACTGAGAAGTAAGATGAATTAGATCAATGATCTGTTATTGCTTTAGGCCATCTAAGGCAGGACCTGAAACCACTGATCCGCAGCAATAGTCATTCCACAGGTGTTGGAGATTCTGGCAGAGACTTCCTTGGCCATAGAGAGAGTTGCATTTTCCCCTCTTTGGAGCCAGAATATATTGAGTCTGGCTTGGTGTAGGAGATGGGTCTTAAGTTCTAAGAAACAAAGGGCAACAAGAAATTGGAGAAGAAGGGGCAGATCCAAAAAAGGGAGAACATATAAAGATGAAAGGAAAAGATAGTAAAAAGAAAGAGAAACCAAAAAGTTAGTAGGGAAGACTGCAGAGGAAGAAAGGATAAATTTAAAAAAATGGAAACAAAGATTTGGAAATCCCAACAGAGTGACAGAGAAGAAAGAGAGATAGTGTCCTTCCTACAATAGACAAGAGCCTCCACTGCCCTCCCTTAGTGGTTGGTCCTTGGCTCTGCTGGTGAGTGGGAATCATATCAACTGGCTTCAGGCCTACTGTCAAGAATACAGGGCAGGGCATATGTTTGGTGTCAAGAACATCTGGAGAGAGGTAGCAGTCAGATCATTCTTTCCCCTTCTCCATTTTATCCACATTCTCTGTAAAACCTTTCCTGGCCATGGAGAAAATCTTGGACAGTTAAATTTTTTAATATTTTGAAGAAAGTATAAGATAAGAAATCCAGCAGGGATCTAAGTGAAAAGAGAGATGCTGTCAAGACAGCATGAGAATAGGCGGCCTGCACAACCCTGCTAGTGGTCTGAGCTGGGCTATATATAGAGGAGTAGGGAGTACTCTTTTGGAGGGCTGGCAGTAGCCACATCTTTTTCCTTTTATCCTGACTTTCCCACATTTGTGGATAGTTTTGTTTTTTTGTTTGTTTGTTTTAATCCTCACCCAAGGATATTTTTCCATTGATTTTTTTAAGAGAGTGGAAAAGAGAGGGAAAGATAGAAATATTGACATGAGAGAAACACATCTATTGGTTGCCTCCTGCACACTCCCTGACTAGGGCTGGGGAGGAGCCTGCAACCAAGGTATGTGCTCTTGACCGTAATCAAACCCAAGACCCTTAGGTCTGCAGTCCGACGCTCTATCCACTGAAGCAGACCAGCTAGATAGCTCTTCGTGAAAAATTGGTGTCCCATTATGTCTTTTTTTTTTTAAGTTTTTAAAAATATATATTTTTATTGATACCAGAGAGGAAGAGGGAGGGAGAGAGAGAGAAACATCAGTGATGTGAGAGAATCATTGATCAGCTGCCTCCTGCATGCCCCCTACTGGGGATTGAGCCCACAACCTGGGCATGTGCCCTGACAGGGAATCAACTGACCTCCTGGTTCATAGGCTGATGCTCAACCACTGAGCCATGCCGCCTAGCCCATTATCTCCTTAAGTCTTTTTGTCATTTCCTTTAGTGTCTCATACTTCCCACAATCTGGACTCTGCTTTCTCCTCCCTCTTCCACAGCCCCAAGCCTCAAGTAAGTTCTGGTAATATGGATGGGAATTATTTCCAGGTTGCAGTCCATGTGCTGGGAAAGGAGGCAGTGCTCTTGGGAGAAACAGCAGAGACCTCAGGCTTCAAACTGAGGCCAGCAGAGTCCCAGCCAGTGGGCAGGTCCCAGGATGAAGAATTTTGGAATGAATATCAGGATCAACAACAGCTGAGCAGGAATACTCATAAAGAAACTGAGCCTATGTGTGAGAGGGGTAAGGAGCTTCATGATAATTTCTTTCTGCTGGGAGCTGTCATAGTAATTTGTCCAGCCAGAACATTGTGAGCACTTTCTGGGTTCCCAGCTTTGTGGATGTGCAAATGTAGTCATGTTAGCAATTATGATTACCCCTACCCCCACCCCTCACAGATGGCCTTAGAATAGACCAGCTGTTGTGAAGGAGGGGATTGGCCTAAGGTACAGAAATATCCAAACCAGAGGACCCTGGTAATAACACCATGAACACTGTTCCTTAGCAAAGTGGAGGATTGGGCCACCCCATCCTCAAATCACAGAAGGAATTGGGATCACAAATGGGCTGTCAGTGGCAGTATGTGAACTATAATTGTGTACTATGAAAATAAATAAATGATAAATAATACATCTCCTACTGTACACTGGAGTCCATGAGTATTTCATTTTCAAATCTGTTAAAATTTTCTTAACTCGGAACTATTTATGTCATGAGAGGAAGTTAATGGTTTTTGTTTTATTCATTTCACTCATGAAAACTGGGCAGCCTGTTCTGGGGATTGATAGATACTTGGTTCTTACAATGATAAGGCCATTTCACACTTATAAAGGTTTCCCATCTACTGAAAGAATCAAGATTTTCTTTATTTTAGAAATGAGCGCAGGATGTGCATAGAAGTGAGAGAAATTTCTGATGGCTCTTTTCCACCCATAGCTGTGCCTGCTCACCAGATCCTAGGCTTTCCTGAGCAGACAAACACCAAAGACTGGACAGTGGCACCTGAGCTCATCTTGCCTGAGTCCCAGGTGAGCTGTGCTTTTGAGCTCTTCAGGGCTGCCTTTCCCTGCTGCCCATGACCCATACTGCCCAGCAGGTGCTTAGAGGCATTTAGCCTAGATATTCTCCCTGGGTAATTGGACACCTCCCAGACTGTTTGCTGATCCCTTGCCTCCTTCCTTTCTGCCTTTTCACTTTAAAAAAAATAAAAAATCATGTATTGTTTATTCCTTCAGTGCCTGGCCTACCATACAGTTTGTGGGCTGGATGTTAGGGCTGCTTCTGGAGTGGCCAGTACTAAGCTAAAGCCCATTCTCTTCTTTAGAGCTTATTGACATTTGAAGAAGTGGCCGTGTATTTTTCCCAGGAAGAATGGGAATTACTGGATATCAGTCAGAAGACTCTCTACAATGATGTAATGCAGGAAAACTATGAGACTGTCATCTCTCTAGGTAAAGATTCTTTCTGCCCTTCGTGTAGAAGTTGAGTAATCTAATGTTCTTAGCTTACTGGGAATGCACCCTGGTTCCAGTAGCTAGTTGTTTCTCAACTTGATGGTGTGAGCAGGGAAAAGTGTATCCAGATTATCTCAAGCTTTTACAAAGCGCATATGCTCATTCCTTATCCTAAAATTCTCTACTCTCCCTACTCTTCACTCTTGCTTACAAATCTGCTCTTTTATCTTTCCATTTCCATAAATGCCACCACTATTTACCCAATATTTCAGGCCAGAATACTTGCGTCATCCTTTAGTCCAAGCATGTCAAACTCGCGGCTGGTGGGCCGCGTGCCATAAATGAGGCATGCAGCCTATTGGCCACGAGTTTGACATGCTTTAGTCTGAACTTGCCATTCATACTCCACTACTCATGCATCACTAGTCCTCTTGGCTCCACCTTTGCATCATAGCCTGAGTCCAACCATGTCTCATTCTCTTGCCCTGTTAGCATTCTGGTCTAAGCCAGTGGCTTCTCTAACCAGCTTTGTAACTGGTGCCCTGACACCACTCTTACCTTTCCATAGTCTGTTTTCCACAAAGCAGTCAGAGTCTTTAAAAAAACTGATGAGATATGACAGTTCTCTGCTTCAAAACCTTACGATAACTTTTCACATTCAGAATAATATCTAAACTCCTTATTAGGTATGTAGGCCCCTCCAAGATCTAGCTCCTACTCACCTGCCTGCCACTTGTATCCTGGCTCCGTCCACTTTAGCCACACTAGTCTTCTTGCTGTTTCCTTAACTTGCTATGCTCATTTTTACCTTCCTACTTCCTTTACCTGACACACTGGACTCTCTCCTACTTTTTCAGACACCTCTAATTTTTGTCCAACTCAGAATAATTTAGGTAATGTAGGGAAAAAAATGAGACTTCCTTTTATTGACTTCAGTCATGAAAACTGAACAAGTCAATTTGGGAACTGGTTGTAGGGCTGATAGCCACTTCTAGGTACCACATAACACTTGTAAACGAGTCCCATTTCTACTGAAGGAATCAGATCTTGTATATTTTAGAAATGTGCCCAGGATGTTCATAGAAGCAAGAGAAATTTCCTATGGCTCTTTTCCATCCACAGCTGTGCCTACTCACCAGATCCTATACTTTCCTGAGCAGACAAACACCAAAGACTGGACAGTGGCACCTGAGCTCATCTTGCCTGAGTCCCAGGTGAGCTGTGCTTTTGAGCTCTTCAGGGCTGCCTTTCCCTGCTGCCCATGACCCACCACTGCCCAGCAGGTGCTCAGAGACATGTTAGCCCAGATGTTCTCCCTAGGGAACTAGACACCTCCCAGACTGCTGATCCCTTACCTACTTCCTTTCTGCCTTCTCACTTAAAAAAATTAATTCCTTCAGTGCCTCACCTACTATTAATTTCATGGGCCAGATATTAGAGCTACTTCTGGAGTGGCAGGTACTGAGCTGAAGCCCATTCTCTTCTTTAGACCTTATTGACATTTGAAGAGGTGGCCGTGTTTTTTTCCCAAGAAGAATGGGAATTACTGGATCCGGGTCAGAAGGCCCTATACAATGATGTAATGCAGGAAAACTATGAGACTGTCATCTCTCTAGGTAAATATTCTTCCCTTCCCTTTGTATAGAAGCTGAGTAATCTGTCATGTTCTCATCTTACTGTGAATACTCCCCTGAGGGACAGTCTGTTCCAGTACTTAGTTGATTCTCAACTTGATGTTTGCAGAGGAAAAGTGTATATCCAGATCACCTGAGAGCTTTTTCCAAGTACACATTCCTTATCCTACATAGAATTCTGGGTCTCTTTCCCTTAAACCTGTTCTTCTCATATCTTCTTCATCTCAGTAAAGATCAACTCAGTAGCTCAGAGCAAGACACATAGTCATTCTTTCCCATTATCTTGTCATCATACTCCACTACTAATATATCACTATTCTCTTGGTTCCATCTTCACAGTATAACCTAAGTCCAACTATGTCTCATCCTCTTGCCTTATTAGCATCCTGGTCTAAATCAGTATCATCTCAAACCAGGCCCATCTTAGTAGCTTTTTAAAGTGGCTGATGGTACCAACACTCTTGCCCTCCAATAGTCCGTTTTCTATCCAGCAGCCAGAGTCTTTAAAACCTAATCAGATTATGATATTTTCCTGTTTCAAAATCTTATGATGACTTCTCATCACATTCAGAATAAAATTAAAACTTTTCCTTATCAAAGTTCTCAGACCCTTCAAAATCTGGTGTCTCTTCTTCTTTCTGCCTTCATCTTCTACAGCTTGTGCCCTTGTTCAGTTCTCTTTAGCCACACTGGTTTTCTTGGAAGCTGTTTTGTTTTGTTTAGTTTTTTAATGTATTGATTTTAGAAAGAAAGGAGGGGAGAAAGGGAGAGACCAGTTTGTGGTTCCACTTACTTATGCATTCATTGGTTGATTCTTGTATGTTCCCTGACTGGGGATCAAACCTGCAACCTTGGCGTATTGGGATGACTTTCTAACCAAACTGAGCTACCTGGCCAGGGCTTCTTGCTGTTTTTTGAAATAACCATGCTCATTTCTACTTTCCCCTTTCCTCTACTTGACATACTTTTCTGCTGTATGACAAAACTTGCACCTTTTGTTCTGCTCAAATACCACTTTCCCAAAGAAGTCTTCCACATAGCCATATCTCAAATAGCTTCACAGAAACAGGATCTTTGTTCTTTTTTTGTTTGTTTTTTTTGTTAATCCTCGCCTGAGGATATTTTTCCATTGATTTTTAGGGAGAGTGGAAGAGAGAGGAAAAGACTGAGAGAAACATTGATGTGAGAGAAATACATCGATTGGTTGCCTTCGAACAGGGCCAGGACCCGAGGAGATGGCAACCAAGGTATATGCCCTTGACCGGGATCGAACCCAGGACCCTTTGGTCCACAGGCCAACACTAGCCACTGAGCCAAACCGGCTAGGGTAAAAACAGAATCTTAAATGCTCTCTTACCCTGATTCAGTTTTTAAAAAAATATATATCATTTCCTGCCCTGGCTGGTGTTTCTAAGTGGTTAGAGCGTCGGCTCATGCACTAAAAGGTCATGGGTTGTTCCTGGCCCAGTCAGGGCTCATGTGGGAGTCAGTGTATCTCTCTCACACCAATGTTTCTCTCTCTGTCACTCTCTCTTTTTTCCCTTCTACTATCTAAAAGCGATGGGAAAATATCCTCGGGTGAGAATTAAAAAACACACACAGAAACATTTATTACTTCTTGATATTTCCTTTTGTCCATTTTTTGATGTTTGATTGCCTCAGTTTCCCACTAGAAGATAAGTTCTATGAGATCAGGGGATTTTGGCTTATTCACCACTATATTCCTATTTCATAGAAAGTGTTTGGCATGCCATAGCCAGTTAATACATATTTGTTGAAATATTGAATGATGAATACTTTCTATCCTTGGAAATTTGTATGTAGAAAAAGTCCACTAAATAATGCTGATCTGTTTTTGTCCAACTGGATACGAACCAGTGAGCTGCAGGAGTGATAGAAATATTTCCTAGTTCAGTTTCTGGTGCTCAAGAGCAAAATAAAAGACTACTATAATTATGGCAGAAATCACTTGGGCATATGATTCCTAATCCACTGACCTTCACATTGGCTCTTCTAGGCCTGGTCTTATTCAGGTGACTCTTAAAGAGTTAATAAGACTCTAAAATCTCTGGAGTTTTAGTCCAACTTGGTCAAGTGTGCAGTTATTGGTGGCAGAAGAGGGGAACGAACATGCACAAAATTCCCATGACTATGTCCTTTCTGTCGACCAAGCTAATCTCCACTTCGCATATCAACCTACAAATGCAGTGTAGTATAAAACTAATAGCTGATATGAGATATGGTTAACCATTTAACCATTTGGGGATAACAAATTGTAAGTGTTCTTTATTCTTACTTGAAATATCTTGAATTAGTGAACCATTGTTAAGTTAGCAATCCTTGACCTCAGTTTTTTCATTTCACAGCCATATTTGTGCTCCCCAAACCTAAAGTCATCTCCTGTCTAGAACAAGGGAAAGAGCCCTGGGTTCAAGGATCCACAGAGATCATGGATAGTCCTGGAGAGCTGCCTATAGGTAAATACACTATGGGAAGAGGAGAAATGTGCCTTAATAGGAATCTTTGCAAGGAATTAACATTTTAAGATTCTACTTATCTTGTACTACAAATCAGTGATCTTTGATGTTTTTTCCTCTCCATTCCTGTGGTTTTCTTGCTCTGCCACTCAGTTGGCTGATTGTCATATTAATTCCAACAGGGTTAAAGCTCAAAAATGATACTGAAAATCATCAGCCTATATGTCCTTCTGACTTAGAAATACAAGCTCCTGGAGACATAATATCAAAAAAGGTCAGAGTGAAAGTTCCCCAGAAAACAACAGTCAAAGAAAATCATGGTGATATACATAGGGTGGGGAAATGGCACCAAGACTTTTCAGTGAAGAAAAGAAAGAAACTTTCAACCTGGAAACAAGAGCTGCTGAAACTTATGGATCGTCACAAGAAAGAACGTGCAGGAGAGAAGCCTTTTAAATGCCAGGAATGTGGGAAAAACTTCAGAGTTAGCTCTGACCTTATTAAGCACCAAAGAATTCATACTGAAGAGAAACCGTATAAATGCCCACAGTGTGATAAGAGATTTAGGTGGAGTTCAGATCTTAATAAGCACTTAACAACACACCAAGGGATAAAACCATATAAATGCTCATGGTGTGGGAAAAGCTTCAGTCAAAATACAAATCTACACACACACCAAAGAATTCACACTGGAGAGAAGCCCTTTACATGTCATGAATGTGGGAAAAAATTCAGTCAGAACTCCCACCTTATTAAACATCGGAGAACCCACACAGGTGAGCAGCCTTATTCCTGTAACATATGCAGAAGAAACTTCAGCAGGCGGTCAAGCCTTCTTAGGCACCAGAAACTCCACCAGTGAAGGGAAGATCGTCCAGTGTCCTCAGTCTGAACAAATTCACCAAGAGGAACTTGACACTAAAGTTTATGAAAAAATAGAAAATTATGAAGCATGATTTTTTTATCAGTGGAATATTACACAGAAAGGAATCAAGTTCAACTCTGCATGGGATGAATTAAAGTTTTTCTACTTACTGTGTTTACTTATAACCTATAGGGAATTCCATAGCAAGATTGGTGTTCTAGGAACATTCTAAAAATGGAAAAAAACTGTTTTAGGATTGTACCTGCCAAAATAGCAAATTCAGTTTCAGACAGCAGATGAAGCCATAAAATCAATCAGTCTTCTGTGGTCATAGAGGTAAATAGTGTTGGTTTTTCATTGATCTGCCCAGCCACTCAAATGCATGTGATAGAAACATTTGTCGCATGGTCTTCCAAAACAAAAAGCAATAATATGCTTGTTTAATTGCATACCATTGTCTTCAAGGTAGCAAGCTTAAAAATTTCATTAGTCTCATGGGATAGAAATGAATTCTAATGTAAAGTTTCCTAAGAACCTAATCGGATTTTCTTCCTCTCTCATCACTGGACTTTGTGTGAGTTTTTTCTTGAACTTTTTAGGAACTTTAGCTCTTGAATTGTATTAGCTCAAATTTTACTTTTATGAAATCATATTTACTTCACCACTAGGGAATCTGCCAGATAACTAATAATGCACTATCTTATGCATCTCATTGGTGGTATTTGAAAAAAGAAAAACATTTCTAATGAGATGATATATAAACTAGAGGCCTGGTGCACGAAATTCTTGCACGGTGGGGGGAGGTGGGTGGTATGGTTGCTCCTAACTGCCCCCCCTCCCGCTGGCCTGGTCCCCCCTTACTGCCCCCCCAGCCGGCCTGGTCACCCCCAACTGCCCCCATGCCACCTGGTCACCCCTCACTAACCCCCTCGCTGGCCTGGTTGCCCCTAACTGCCCCCCCTGCCAGCCTTGTCACCCCCAACTGCCACCCTGCTGGCCTAGTCACCCCTCACTGCATCCCCCACCAGCCTGGTCACCCCATGCAGCCTGCTGTGGTCACCCTTCACAGCCCCCCCCGCTGGCCTGGTTGCCCCACGCAGCTTGCTTGTTCAGTCGTTTGGTCGTCCCTCACTATCCTCCCTGCTGGCCTGGTCATAGGCAGCCATCTTTGTGAGGGTGTGAGGGTTAGTTTGCATATCACCTCTTTATTATATAGGATGGGTTGGAATTTTTAGCCATGGAATAATATATTAGATGTAAAGAAAATTTTTCTGCAATAAAAGAAACTAGATTGTTTCCTTTCCTCATAATGTCAATAGGATAACATAGCCATAAAAATTAGTACTTTCCTGAGGCCTAAAAGAAATGGGAGTCCTGGATTCACTTCTCAGGATTTTGTTTTCTTTTTCATTTGGCTTTTGTTATTAAGAATCAGGAGAGATTTGTGTGTCTGGGAACTGGAACATGTGCTGTAGGTGGGATCCTGTGTTTTACTGTACATGGTGACCCAGGAATCCATTCAGCAGGGTACCAGGTTTCCAAAAGGATAGTTTTGGGAACTGATGCAGAGTGGTTGGCAAAAGTGAGCTAATCCACATCCATATTGGTTGTCTTACACTGTAAACTATTAGGTAGGGTCTACCTGTATCTGTTTTCTTCAGCATTTAATAGTAGTCTTGGTTGATGCTTAATAGACTGCTGAAAACCTATAGGCAGTAGATATTATAACTCATGCTTTATCTATTTTTACCTTTGATTCAGATGTGTTCTTGTTAGAGCTTTTAGGTAGTATCAGGAAAGGGGTTAAATTATCTCTTCCAAATCTATCCTATATAATAAAACCCTAATGCAAATCAACTGAACAGCAGAATGACCGGTCGCTGTGACGCGCATTGACCACCAGGGGGCAGATGCTCAATGCAGGAGCTGCCCCCTGGTGGTCAGTGCGCTTCCACAGGGGAGCGCCGCTCAGCCAGTAGCCAGGCTGATGGCTGGCAAGCACAGTGGCGGTGGCAGAAGCTTCTTCTGCCTCCATTGCAGGCGGGCAGTAAGGAGTGAGGGGTCCCGGACTATGAGAGGGATGTCTAACTGTCGGCTTTGGCCCGCTCCCTAAGCCCACAGGCAGACATCCCCCAGGTGTCCCAGACTGTGAGAGGGTGCAGGCCGGGCTGAGGGATCACCCCCCCTCCCCAGTGCATGAATTTCATGCACTGGGCCTCTAGTTAGTTTATAAATGAGGAAGTTAAGGCACAAAGAGATACAGGGACTTGTTCAAGACCCCAAAGCTGTTGGCTGTCACTTGGCTTCTTTAGTCAGACCTGAAGGCAGGATTGTCAGGACTTCGTATGTTATCTCTGTGGAGTCATACTAGATAACATTGTATTATATCTGTTTTCAGCTTATGAAACATTTTTGTTTCTTGATTGGTTACTGAAACACTCTTAAGTCTCCATTTTCTCTCTTCTTTTTAAAAAATTTTTTAATGTTGACATAATTGCAGGTGTCCCCCTCTTCCCCACCATTTGCCCACCTCCACCCACCCCTGCCTCCCCATCCCTCGGCCTTCACCAAACTGTTGTCCGAATCCATGGGGTATGTATATATGTTCTTTAGCTAATCCTATCACCTTTATCCTGTCACCCCATCCCCCTCCCCTCAGGCACCAGCCAGTCTCCATTTTCTCTGTATAGAAAAACACTCTCCTCAGGGTTGATCTGGGAATTACAGGGATTGATGAAAGAAAAGCACCTACCAGCCTGGCCAATAGTAGATGCTTAATCAATGTGCATTTCTTTCCCTTTCTCCTGCTTCCCAGATATATTGGGTGAACTGACTATATTTAAGGAGTAGATGCATTTGTGGCTCTTGCAGCTTCTTTCAGGAGTTGAGCACTGGTTGTGGTGGTTATGCTGAATTGATTTGGTTCGTGGCTTCAGTGGTTTTTTTGTATATATCACCTGAGCTTTGGTCTGGCTTCTTCAGTGGGAATTGTTTTCTTCCAAAAGTTGAACTACACCAAGTACTTTTTTTTTAATGATCATTTTTTAAAAAAATACTTTTTTTAATTGATTTCAGAGAGAGGAAGGGAGAGGGAGAGAGAATTAGAAACATCAATGATGAAAATCATCAATTGGCTGCCTCCTACATGCCCCCTACTGGGGAGTGAGGCTGTAACCCAGGCCTAACCAGGAATCAAACCATGACCTCCTAGTTCATAGGTCCACACTTATCCACTGAGCTACACTGGCAGACCACCAACAATTATTTCCTAAGCATGGCCAGCTCTGAAGCTTTAGTCTGAGTAGCTCTTACCCAACACCCTCAGCTTTAGATCCCTGGGACTCATCTCTTCAAAGATACATGTGAATTTCTTGGTAGTACATTCATTCACTTACTTAATTTAATGATGGCCTATTATGCACCTAGGCACTGTTCTAGACCAAGGATATAATCGTGAACAAGAAAAAAAAATGGCCCTAACCGGTTTGGCTCAGTGGATAGAGCATCAGCCTGCGGACTGAAGAGTCATAGGTTTGATTCTGGTCAAAGGCATGTACCTTGGTTGCGGGCACATCCCCAGTAGGGGGTGTGCAGGGGGTAGCTGATCGATGTTTCTCTCTCATCGATGTTTCTAACTCTCTATCCCTCTCCCTTCCTCTCTATAAAAAATCAATAAAATATATTTAAAAAAAGAAAAAAAAATGGATATCCACATGGAGCTTGTATTCTAGTGAACAGTAAATAAGAGAAAGGTTATGCTTTACTCCTTGTAGTTAGACAAGGTCATCAGGTCATTTTGTTCAGTGGGTTGCTAGCAGAAGCCTCACTTCTGGGCTGAAGCATTTATTTGTTGGTACAAGACTCTCTAGTGCTCTCCTTTCTTGCCTCAATCGTGGAAGCACATATAGAGAGAGGTGTCATGAGATCAAACCAGTCTAGAATGCTGAGTCCCTTACATAGTGGGTTAGCTGTTCTGTGAGTCCCCCAGGCCTATAATGGGCTTTGTGGGAACAAGAAATAAACATTTGTGTTTAATCACTGAGATGTGTGCTGTGTGTTTCTGCAGTATTACCTGGGCTGTTTTTAATAGAGGTGGGTCTTATATTAGAGCTTTGAAACTTTTTTTTCCATTTCACTTGGCCTTTGGCCCTCAGGAAAGATCTAGTTCCTATGGATGCTCCACCAAGCTGATGTAACACTGATGGGAACATTAGGAACTTACAAGACTATAGGTAAAAGTCAAAATATAAGTAAAAAACAACAGCCCTAGCCAGTTTGGCTCAGTGGATAGAGCGTCGACCTTCGAACTGAAAGGTCCCAGGTTCGATTTCGGTCAAGGGCAGGTGCATGCCCTTGGTTGCAGGTGCATGCCCTTGGTTGCAGGTGCATGCGGGAAGCAACCAATTGATGTGTCTCTCTCACATCAATGTTTCTCTATGTCTCTCCACCTCCCACTCTCTAAAAATCAATGGAAAAATATTCTCAGGTTAGGATTAACAAAACACACACACACACAAATAATAATTTTTAAAAAGTTTCTTCATCCTGTAACTATCGTGAGTAAGCATTACCCAGCATTAAAGCTATTTATCCTCCTAAAGAGAAGCTCACATTTCCAAACTATTCTTCTTTGAGTTAAGAGGCACTCTTATAGTCCTGGCTGGTGTGGTTCAGTTGGTAAAGAGACAGACACATAGATCAATGGAATAAAAAGTCCAGAATTAGATCCACATAAATATGGCAAGTTGATTTTTTATGGGCAACTTTTTAATGAGGTAACATTCACATAAAAATAACCATTTAAAAGTGAACAATTGAGCTTGGCTGGTATGGCTCAGTGGTTGAGCCTTGACCCATGAACCAGGAGGTCACAGTTTGATTCCAGTTAGGGCACATGCATGGGTTGCAGGCTTGACCCTCAGGAGGAGGCATGCAGGAGGCTTCGGATCAATGATTATCTCTCATCATTGATACTTTTCTCTCTCTCCCTCTCCCTTTGTCTCTGAAATCAATCCTATATAATAAAAGCCTAATATGCTAAGTCAACTGGTAGGCCATTCAACCAATCAAAGTGTAATATGCTAATGATATGCTAAGGCTGCTCAAGCGCTCACTATGACATGCTCTGACCACCAAGGGGCAGACAGTCGACTAGTCGACCAGTTGCTATGATGTTCACTGACCACCAGGGGACAGATGCTCTGACCAGTAGGTTAGTTTGCTGCTGGGGTACGGCCGATCTGGACTGAGCAAGATGGGCCAGAAACACCCTGGAGCCCTCCTGCAGTCCCTCCCCAGCTGGTCAACCTCCTGCACCCCTCCCCAGCCCCGACTGTGCATCAGTGGGGTCCCTCAGCCTGGCCTGTGCCCACTCACAATCCGGGACCCCACGGGGGATGTCAGAGAGCCAGTTTCAGCCCCATCCTGCAGGCCAGGCCAAGGGACCCCACTGGTACGTGAATTCGTGCACCAGACCTCTAGTAAAGATATAGTTTTAAATGAGCAATTGAGTGACAGTAAATTCACAATGTTGTGCAACCACCATCTCTATCTAGTTTCAAAACATTTCCATCACTCTCAAAGAAAAGCACATATCCATTAGGTAGTTGTTCCCCATTCCTATCTCTCCAGAGTTTTGGCAACCAGAAATCTTTTTGTGTCAGTAGATTTATCTATTCTGAATATTTAATATCAATAGAATCAAGCAGTTAAAAAAAAGGGGGGGTGTCTGGCCTTT